TTCGTGTGAAAAATTTGATTCACGAATCACTGAAAAATGCGGGAAATTGCTGCAAATTGATAGAGAAAATTTCAGGTTTATTTGAATTTATTTGTGGTGTGTGTTTTGTTTCATACAAGGCAGGTAAAATTCACTGCAGGATTAAATTCGAATGGTAATGTCTGGTGCAAAATTTGAGATAGTGAAGTTTGACGGAACAAGGAACATCGGATTGTGGCAAACAAATGTGAAAGATTTGTTAGCACAAGAAATTTTGAAGAGATTACGAGCTATGAAACCTGATGGTATTATCTATAAACTGTTGGGGAGTGCAGTTGTAGGTGGAGTTAACTCTGTCGGATCATATGATGGAAATGCAGCAAGTATGTTGACCAAGCCAGGTATTTTCAACAAGTTCTTGAATTGCTTGAACTTGTTGAATGTTAGCAGTTGCTAGTTGGCATGGTTGTCCAACCCACTACGCTCCTAAGGGGCTGGATATTCGTCAAGATGGAGAATTGTTAGGTATGACTCATAATACCAGAATTTGGAGTCTCTTGGAATGAAGAGAGGTTTCTTGGAATTAAAGAGGTGTGTCTCTTGGAATTTAGTGAGTTGACATCAGCGTGGGCGCAGCAGAAGCATGATGGCCCAACTCACATTGGTGCAGGTGTAACTCTCAGGTATTTTTTCTCCTAAAGGGGTGGATATTCGCCAAGGTGGAGATTTGTTATGGTATGGCTCATATACCATATAGGGACAGATGCTGGAAGGAAGCGGAGCGGAGCGGAGCGGAGCAGAAGAATCTGTCCAAATTGGGAAGTTACGTTATATGGGTTGGGGTTATAATTTGGGAATTACATATTGTACTGCATGGCTTACTCTAGGATTATAAATAGACATGTTTGTAATCCTAGGTCTATGAGAGAGCTGAATATTCTATTCTGTAATCTTTTCTGAATATTGAAAGGAAATCGCCGCTCTGCTCCCGAGGACGTAGGCATCTTTGCCGAACCTCATTAAATCTTTGCGTTTTTCTGGATTTGTGTCGATTACTGTTTTTTTTCGCCCTAATTTGTATCAACAAAGCAGCACCGACTATATTTCAGCAACGACAACATTAAGCAAGTAGAGCAGCATGCAGCAACAAGTTTGCAATATCAAAAGGAAAATCATTTTTGAAAGCCCAATAGGGCTGACAGGTCGAAATTAACCATCCTGTAATGCCATATTAGAGAAAGATAATTTACTTTGTCTAACAAGAAAAGAGCCCCTATCCATAAAAAGGAAACGAGTACAGTATTCTCGGGTACACCAAATCAACATATTCCACACAAACAACTATGGACACTTGCCAACCAAGATAATTTCCTATGCTAACAATACCAAATTTATCCATATTATCCTAATAATCATCGGAAAGATACAAAAAAGGTAAAATATCAAATGAACCAAAGATTTATAACATGAAATCAAGTATATAAAATCCCTCAGTAATAGAAAAATGATGAATGTCATATGCAAATCTCTATAATCACTTTCTTGTTCTCTAGTATAAAGTTTCAGAAGGAAAAAACAAATATAAATAAAATTTGTATAATGTTCATAGTGTAACAAGCTAGCAAAGTCAAAAACTCACAAATCACTAAAGCATTTAACCGAAAAGGAAATAAAAATTTAGTTCATAGCTAATATTATGCAGATGCATTTTCATATAAAAACTATTGACTCCTTGATGTTCATGTTTTTTAACTTAACAAGATCATTATCCGTTTCTTGTCAGTAGTTTCATGTAACTCCTCGTGCATAACTTCACTCTGCTCAACTCAATGGAAAGAGAAGAAAGAGTATAGGATTATCAACCCCTCCAAGATATATATATATATATATATATATATATATATATAGAGAGAGAGAGAGAGAGAGAGAGAGAGAGAGAGACCTATAGTCAATAGTTTGATACAAGTCTCTCATGCTTATTTTCTTCTTTCTTTTTGTCGCTCCACAAAAACTGTTAGGGCCAGCGGTCTACGCTTCTCTCAATGCCTAGCACCAAATCAGCAAGAGAGATATGCCTTGCTGTCGTCAATAATTTGATGTTGGTGTATCATGCTTACTTTCTTGTCTCTTTCTTCCTCGTTCTTAAAAATAATAGAAGCCAGCAACCACCAAATGCCCCGCCTTAATCATCACAATAGAAAACAAAAGAAGAGTACAAGGGTTACCGACCCCATCCATGTCACTCCCACACACATACACGCATTCTTCTCTGTTTACAATAGTTTAATGTAGATCATTCTTATTTTTTTTATCACTTTCTTCCTCATCACCTAAAAAAATAGTTAGGACCAGAAACCACTTATGCCTGCCTCTGTTTATGAAAGAAGAGGGACAATCAACCCCATCTGACACACACACACAGACACACATAACATGCCTGCGCACACCTAGAAAGATGGGTGATGTTAAGAGATTCTAGTCTGCTCCATTTTCAGAATGCAATTAACGGAAAAGAAAATGAAAATTTGGTAAATGACCTACATTGAACTATCATTTCTATGAGAAGACAAAAATTTTGGGCATAAAAACTTATCCTTTATTAAATTAAAGCACCATAAAGATACCCAAGCATTACTAAACTTCAGGAACTTAGATGTAATATGGAATTTACTCAAAAGCTTGACAAAAGGCATTGACATACCCATGAATTAGTTCAACTAGTTGTGGCCGCAACTCTTCATCTCTTAGCTTATGGATCCTTCTTGAAATTGCATCTATAGATTTGATTGTCATACTAATCTTTGTGATGAGCTTATTTATTGCAGCCCGTGTAGAATCAATCTTACTGGATTCAGCTCCCCTGTCATCCAAAGCTTTGAGACGAGTGTACTTCCTATCATAAAACAATCGCAGCTTCTCTTCATCCTAGCACAGCACTCTAATCAGTTTTAGCGAAACTTTTTGAAACTAGAACTGAACAAATAGAAAGTGAAAAAAAGCATTTAATTCCAGTTCACAGAATATAGCAGTCATCAATTGCATAAACTGAATCATGTCAGCTAGCTTATTTTTTTTAACAATAAAAAAATTTCAAATGTTGTTATAGAGGCCAACAGCGAGCATTGACTACGGGCAGCATCATAATAAATCAGAATGACATGGGCAAATTTATTTACATAATAAAATTTACCTTGATGGTGTATTATGATGCTCAGAATAATTAAAAACTACTTAGATAAGGACCCCTCAACAGTAATGTAAGGCATGAAGGCATGCATTTGTTGTTAGTTTGATTAGCTTGTTGAGGAAACTCTGGAAAGAATCCCCTTTGCAAATTCACTAGCGCTTAAACTCAATTATAAATCTAAACCACACCATGGAATAGGATCGCATAGATTCAAAAAAATCGGAACAAACATACAAACAAAAGCAAAACAAAAAACAAACCAGAAAAGCATACGATAATTTAATGAAGAAAAAATAAAGAATGAGAAAAAAACCACGCAGTCACACTACCAGAAAAATTCCACTACAAAAATCAGAGAGTTGATAGAGAACACAATCCATTCCCTCTCCACTCGCCAGAAAACTTATAAGATCAAGCTCTAAACTCTTCCCGATCCAATCCGACGAGAGAAACACATGACGAAATTACCAAAATCCTCCTCCCCAACACTTCATACTTCACTAGGATTTTGTCGAAGAACTCTCGCACAGGAAGACATTCACAGCATTGAAATTCAGCCTTTTAAATAGAGAATCCTGCACCAACCACTCTGTGCGCATAGGCGCCTGGACTTGGCGAATAACCATCGTGTTCTCTAGAGAAAACAGGAGTGTTGGGCGTTTGAGTGCCTAGGTGCCCAAAGGAAGGTGTTTGACTTCCCCCTCTCTGTCTGCTGCGCCCAGTGGGCGCTTAAGTGCCCAAAACTAGGCATAAAAGAGTCGGACTCTCTGTCAAAGGTTTTTAGCATCAAATTAGACTCCACGTCTAAGAATCTCCCACTTGGAGACCGATAGCACCCAACACTAAGCCTTTGAACCTGCACCTCTATTTGAATCACCTTCATAGTCAAATATTGTGGTGTGGCTCACCCTCGGTCTCAACCTTCACGAAACCCAACTGAAGTCAAACATAGCTTTGGCTTCTCAACAGTCACCACCTTCGTTAAGATGTCTACAGTGTTCTGAGCAACGTGTATCTTCTCTAGGAACAACTCCTCATCTTCTAGAAAAGAGCAAATTAAATGATAACTCAGTTGAAAGTGTTTTGTCTTGGCATGAAAAGCTACATTATTAGCAAGATGAATCACACACATACTATTACTGTGGAGCTTTTCGATCCACTGCTCCTTGCCCAATTTTGTCATAAAATTGTAGTCAAATCATCTCCTTGCTAGCATCAATAATAGCAATGTATTTAGCCTCTGTAGTTGAAAGTGCAACGCTCTTATGCAGCTTGGAAATTGAACTCACCGTTGTGTTCCCAATGTAAAGATATACCCGGTCATACTCCCCCTACTATCCACATCTCCTACCACATCTGAATCTACAAATCGTTGTAGACTGATCACTACACTTCCATAACAAAATGATTGTTGATTGTTCCCCTCAAATACTTAAGAATCCACTTCACTGCCTCCTAATGATGTCTTCCGGATTGCTCATGTACATGCTTACCACTCTCACTGCATATGCAATATCTAGTATGATACAAATCATCACGTATATCAAATTTCCAATTTTTGAAGCATATGGAGTTCTCTCCACTTGTGTTTGCTCTGCTTCAAAGTTAGGTGATGGCTTCTTAGATAGTTTGAAGTAACTACCTATGGGGGTGCTAACTGGTTTTGTCTCACTTATGTTGAACCTCTGTAGGATCAAATATACTATATTTGAGACAACTTCAGTGTTTCTGCACTCCTTTTCCTGCTGATTCTCATCCTAAGAATTTTCCTGATTAAACCTAAATCCTTCATCTTGAATTCACTTGATAATTGTTTATTTAAGTCCCTGATTTTCTTCATATGTGCTTCTATAATCAACATGCCATCCATATATAAAAAAAGTAAGATATAACAATTATCAGGGTGTTTGATGAAGCAACAGTGCTCAATCTAATACTTCAGGTACACGTTGTCTGACATGGACTGTCAAACTCTTGTACCACTGTCTCGAACCTGCTTCAAGGCATAAAGACTCTTCTTCAATCTGCAGACCAAAAATTTTTTACCCGAAACCTTATAGCCCTATGATTGCACCATGTATAGCCCTTCCAGATCTCCATGTAAGAAAGTTATTTTACATCCATCTGCTCCATATGTATATCTTCTGCTACCAAACTCAGTACAACACTGACAGTCGTCATCTTTTTCACTGGAAAAAAGATGTCAATATAATTCACTCCCTCCTTCTGCTAGAACCCTTCACAACAAGTATTGTCTTGTAGCACTTGCGACCATCTAACTCATACAACTTGTAGACCCACTTGTTATGTTGTGTTTTTTTTTTGTCATTTGGTAATATCGTCAAAACTCAAGTCTGATTTGACTCTATAGATTGTATTTCTTCATCTATGGTAAGTTCTCACTCCCTTGAATCTTCAACTTGAGTGGCCTCCTCAAAGCACTCTTGTTCATCACTATCAGTTAGTAACAAATAGTGTAAATAAGGAAGATACAAGTGTACAGCTCATATCACTCTACTGAATCTTCTGACTTCTGTAACAGGCGACTGAGGAACTTACAGTGCTCCTTTTGGTTGAGCACTTCTTCTATCTCCACCTTCTTGATCACCAGTATCATTTATCTCAACATATCTGGATTCTTTAAAAGTAGTTGATGGATTTTCCTGAGTTATAACCATGTCCTTATACATCTCCATTTTATTGAAAGTGACATCCTTGCTCCTGATGAATTTTTTATTCTGATAATCCCAGAACTTATATCCAAACTCATCTGAGTCATATCCAATGAATTTCGAGAAAAGTTTGCTCCTGGAACCTACATCAACATGCACACACGAAAAACACCCAAATACTCTTAAATGAGATGGATTTACTTTTTTGTTACTCCAGACTTTTTTAGGTAAGCCTTCCTCCAAAAGTATTGATAGATCATGGTTAATCAGATAAACTACAGTTTTTACTGCTTCAGCCCAAAACTATTTTGACTAGTCTGCATCATGTCACATGCTTGTAACACGCTCCGTGATTATTCTATTCATGAACTCAACCACACAATTCTGTTGCAATGTCCTTAGGACGGTGAACTCATGTCTGACCCTCTCTATAGCACAAAAATTTTTAAACTACTGAGACACTTCAACTTCATGTTTATCTCTTTTTCTACCATTGCTTTCCACTTCCTAAAGACTTCAAATAAATCTGATTTTTGCTTTAAAAAATAAACCCGTACCTTTCTCGTGTGATAATCAATAAATATGACAATAGCAGGCACCTCCAATAGACTGAACCGGAGTAGGGCCTCATACGTCAGTATGCACTAACTCCAATTTCTTTGATTTCAGCACTAGCCCGCTCTTAAAGAAAGAGGTTTGCTTCCGCTTGTCTTCTATAGTCTTCACAAAAATTCATATCAACACATTTCAAACCCTAAAGCTTATTTTTAGAATGTGGGGACATCATAAATTTCTCACTCTTATGGTCAAGCTTACGGTGTCACATACCTGCATCAATACTGATTCCAGCTACATCAATAGAATCAGCTATTCCATTGATCAGGCAAAGGTGCATTCAATGTTGCCCCAAGCCTTCACTAGTGCCCGTTGATCACCTTCCACGAATCACCTCAAAAAGTAGCCACGAGTCCTCACTTTACCAACCGACTCACAGAAATGAAATTTCTCTTCAGACTTGGAATATTTCTAACTTCAGTAAGCTTCTAAATTATTCCATTTAGCAACCTAATGTCAACATCACCCTTTCATACGCTATTGCATGCTTATATCTTAGATAAACCATGTTTAGATCACTCTCAGTGTAGTTTTTGAACACCTCTTTATTGGGGCAATCATGAAAAGAGACACTTGAATTTACTATCCAATATTCAGTGTTGATTAGGGATACAGTTTGACATTTTTATACACCGAGCATATTTTGGAACTATCTAATATAAGACTAAACGTCAAATGGAGTCTCAATTGACGTAACAATTTCCCCCTAAAGAGAGAGCTCTCCACATCCATCATCACCACCTCTCAATAAAATGCTCTCAAAATCAAGTATTTTGCACCAAAAACCTACCCATTTACATGAAGTCATCTGCTCTTAAATTATGTCAAAATAATTATGTAGGGCAGCTAGCAATCATGGAAGAGGCAACTTGAATGAACCAATCAAGCATAATTGAAAAAAAAAATTTGTTAAGGATCAATCAAAGGAAGATCAAGGTTGGGCATGAAGCATGCCAAATTCATCAAATGGAATAACTGTTTGAGCCCAAAAGCTTACGATCAAGGATGAGAGCCACCAACGGAGCATTTTTACACCACCATTCAGCTATTTAATATTAAAGTAAAACCTTACCATTTTTTTTTTTTAAGTCCAAGGACTAGTTTTATTGAAATAGAAAAGATACATAAAGAATGTATGAAAAGGGCCCAATAGAGGCACCCTACCCATACGATAACAAGTACAATACTACCCCAACAAAAGGATACAGATATACTCAAAAAAATTTAAAAACATGCAGAAAATAAGTAGCTAGATGATCCAGTTTAGTCCTGTCTCTTCCTCTAGTTTTAGAAGCGAAGCCAGATAACAAACTTTGAAGTGTTGTGTCATTGTCAGGAGTAACCAAAGTATCATCCATTAAGTCAAGTTGGAGTGTGCCCCCAGTCATCTTCTTCCGTCGAGAAGTGTAAACATGTCATTCTTCATCTGAAGACTGACTCATGTGATCCTCAGTCTAATTAGATATTAGAACCACAGTAGAAAGAAAGGCAGTTGTTTGCACAGCGATAGGTTCCAGTGTATGTGAAGTGTGAATTATCACATCTACACCTAATGTTTCCTGAATAGAAGTTGCAGGGTTATCCTGACTTTCGATCCGAACATTATCCCTTATAGTATGGCTAGGAGAAGGGTTCTCAGAGGCAGACACAATTTCCTGTCTTGTGGTGATTCCCTCCTCAGGTTGGCTATCATCAGGTTTGTTGGGAGCTCGTTCAGGCACGTGGGGTGAACTAACAGTATGTTCTTGCTTTTGACTATTTGTTTTCATCTATGGGTGCAATTTGAAAAATTTCTCTTGCGGATGTCCAAACATCTTGCAGTATTTGCAGCAGTGGGGTTTTTGTTCCACAATGATTTTTTGTCAATAATCATTATGAGCAGAGTCAAGCCAAGCTTCTTCAACATCTGGTAGTGTAATATCTCTTTCAATCAAAATTCATGCAATAATGGACCTTGAGAAATGAATCACATGTGTGTCTACCTGCAAAGGTTTTCCAAGAATAGTCCAAATTGCATATAAGATAGGTAGGTCAAAGAATTGAAGCTTGAGTTCATATAATGAGGACCATATAGGTGTAGTTGGGGGTTCTTAATTAGGATCAAAATCAGGGGTCCATTTAAGCAATTTCATATGATTGTTCCTGATTGTGATGAATTTTTTTGAAAAAATCCCAGTGTATGTGAAGTGTGAATTATCATATCTACACCTAATGCTTCATGAATAGAAGTTGCAGGGTTATCCTGACTTTCGATCCGAACATTATCCCTTATAGTATGGCCAAGAGAAGGGTTCCCAGGGGCAGACACAATTTCCTATCTTGTGGTGATTCCCTCCTCAAGTTGGCTATCATCAGGTTTGTTGGGAGCGCGTTCAGGCACGTTGGGTGAACTAACAGCATGTTCCTGTTTTTGACTATTTGTTTTCATCTATGAGTGCAATTTGAAAAATTTCTCTTGCGGGTGTGTTGACCTCATTTTTGTGAGGTCTTTTCCTCTCCTCCTTAGAGCCTAGGTTCTAGCTCTAGAAATCCCTATGGACCATCTTAGAAAACTAGAGTTGAGACTCACCCTTCTAGAAGCTCCAGTCGATTCCTATTTTCCTTTGATGTCTAGCATCTTTGGCACAAGAAAGGTTTTCCAAGAATAGTCCAAATTACATATAAGATAGGAAGGTCAAAGAATTGAAGCTTGAGTTTAGATAATGAGGACCATATAGATGTAATTGGGGGTTCTTAATTAGGATCAAAATCAGGGGTCCATTTAAGCAATTTTATATGATTGCTCCCGATTGTGATGAATTTCTTTGAGAAAATCCTTCTGTAATCTTCTTCTATGCTCAGTTGTATCATAACATGTCTTTCGTCGAAAAGTCACAACTGCCAAGCCCCAACTAGTTTGAAATCTTCAAAAACCTTCCTGATAATCTCCATCTTAGGACGACCTAATTGGAACTTTCAAACAAGTAAATATTTGTATTTTCCTGCACGAGTTGGAATTTCAGCATCATAGAAGAATAGTGTTGGTTTGCCCGCCTTTTTTTTTACTTTTTTGATGAGACTGCAATCTCCATGTCCTGCAACAGAATCATGATACATCTGCGGGAACATTAGGCTTTCTGCAAGTTGGAAATGGGAGTTGTGTTTGTGAACCACTGTAGCATCGAAAGGTCTGGCAGGATTATCACCTGCAAAGGCAGCGGCGTAGCAAGGCCCTAATGCCATTATCGTGCTTCACAGAAGCACAGCAGGAGCTTGGCACAACTTGTTGACTGTCGCTGACAAAACGAGAGGCGAGATGAAACAGACGTGAAATCCTGTCGTCCATCTTCGAGCACGACGAACGACACGAGACCGTTGTGCCAGACAAGATCGCTGCGACAAATGAGGAAGAGGAAATCGCTGGACCTTACATGTATCAAGAATAATTAAATAATAAAAGACAGAAAAAGGATGGCAACTAATTGATGACATGGATGAGGATTATACTATTTACAAGCATTGTGGTAGCTCCCCTATGAATAAAGACTACTTCGAGCCTCCCTTGTGAAGGTGTAGCCATGACCATTCTATCTAGCCTACTATGTGCCTCGTGCATCATCAATATTCCATAATATACGCACATTTTGTAACATAGAGATGCGGAGCGGGCTTCCGCGGGCTGCTTGCAGCCCGTTGGACTGGGTAAATGGGGAGCAGGTCCAACCATCCCCCTAGACAGGTTGGTTTAGTTATCTATTTCGCAACCGTCTCCTCCTCCCGTGACCGAGTCGATCTCTCCTCCTTGCCTGCCCCTGTTCCCTAATCTCCCACATCTTCTCCCGGTCATTGCAAACCTTTCCTTTTCTTCCCCACTTCATAAAATCTCACCTTTATTTTCTCGCCCTCCTCCACTACTTACGCATGTTATCTTATTAGGCCTAACTAGTCTTGATTGTTGATTTTTCTATTCCAGTAGATCCTTCTGGTTTCCTCCCTCATTTGAGGTTGTATCATTCGGCAGCATGATGCTACGGCTGTATCCCGTCAAGGTAGTGTGTATCTCAGCTCAATGCCCTCCTCCCGGCATCGTCCTCCACCTGAACCGGTTGGTTTAGCATATTTATTTCGCAATCGTCTCCTCCTCCCGTCATTGAGTCGATCGCTCCTCCCTTCCCGCCCCCGTGTGCCAGGGAGAAGGTTGGACCCGCTCTCAATTTGCCCGGTCCAACGAGCTACAAGCAGCCCACGGAAGCCCGCCCTGCATCACCATGTTACAAAATTTAAGTATACTATGAAGTATTAATGATGATCGCTCCTCCTTTCCCGCCTCCTCGTCCCTCCGGCAAACTGCTGCCCTTCCAAGTCCCCCCTCCAGCACTCCATCCAACCGTCGTTAAGCAACTTCTACACTCTCTTTTGTCAACCCTCCGGTCTGCCACCGCCATCAACGCTCGGCTAACAGTCGTCAGCTCCTAGCACCACTCTAGCAGGTTCTAGCCACCTTCCAGGGTTGTCGCACCGAATTTGCCGCATTCCAGACTAATTTATACCTCATGTTCAATTTATTTATGCATCACTATTTCTTTTGGAAAAATTTTCTGTTTGGACTCCTGACGTAGAACTACGTGCGGACTCCAATAATATGCCGCGACGTGTGCTATATCGCGAAGATTATTTTGGGTTCTTGAAGTGGAACCATAGAAATTATTACGGGATTATTTCGGAGTTATTGAAGAGAAACATATATATTTCACTTCAATAACCAAGAAATAACCTCTGCGGTTCTACTTCAATAACCCCGAAATAACATCGTGGTGGTTATTTCAGAATTATTTATGGGTTATTAAAGTGAAATATATAAGTTTCTCTTCAATAACCCTGAAATAACCCAAAAATAATCCTGAAATAACCTCCACGGTATTATTTCGAGAAAGTTATCTCGGAGTTAATAAAGTGGAACCGCAGGGGTTATTTCGAGATTATTGTGGAATCTGCGGTTTCACTTTAATATTTTTTAGGTGAACCGGATATAGCACACATGGCGGTCAATTACTGGGAGTCCGCATGTAGAACTATGTCTAGAGTCCGGAAAGAAAATTTTTCCATTTCATCTACTATTTATGTGTTATTTCATTTATTGTTTATGCATTCTTTGTTTACAGTTTATGCATTGTTGATTGTGAACAGTAGTCGTTGTACTTGTTTTTAAAATATAGCAATAAAATTTGATGCAGCTGAGTTATAGTTTGAGTTAACTCTGGTATCATAGTCAATACAGAGTTATAAGCTGAAAGTTACATGTAACTAAAATTTGAAAAGTTTGTAGGTCCAACATATCTAACCAAATCATGAAGTGACAACCCCGAAGTAGCAAACCAAATCACAAGATAATCAACCCAAGTAGAAGAGCCTCCAAGATCTCTAATGAACATATTATATCATTTGATTTAAAATTAAGGGAAATGCAGGGTTTCTTTGTTTAAATTTTATGAAAGAACCTTCCAAGTTTAGTTTGGAAAAAGTTCATGACCAAAAGAGTAGATCAACTTTAGCATTAAAAAAAAAACTAACAAATAGCTTAATTTCACTGCAGTAGTTTATCCAAATTACAGGTCCAAAACACAATGATAAGTTCAAATAATTAACTATATTAGGTTCCCATTTCTGACTCATGCAAAAGTGCTTTTAAACAAGAGCCTCACAAAACTAAGTGCACAAAGTAAAAAAAATTCATAGTTATAGCCAATCAACTGACAAGTTTAAAAATTTTAAATCACTAGTAATATGATCTTACATTTTACTTCTTAATGGCGTTCAATTGAACTTTAAAAGGTAACCATTAAAACTATCGCACTTTGCATATGATGCTGTCTATGGTACAGACAAGAAACTTGATGGTCAAAGGGTAGCTAACAAAACATACAACTCCCTACTGCATACAGAGACATTGAATAAGAAACTGCTGAGAACTATACCTTGACTTCCTTGTACAGTTTCTTCTCCCACATGTACAATTGCTCTAAAGTTGATGAAAGGTTGTTAGACTTCGCGGAGATGTACTTCTCAAAATCAGTGCATGCGTCTTCATTCACTTTCAGTATACTTACACCTGAATATAATAAAATGCCCGTTGAACTATGCATAAAGCACAAATAATGCCAGAGAAATAAAACATCATCAGTTATAAAAACTAACTTCAATTAGAACCGTTCAGTACAACCTATCAATTTTTCCTTTTTAGGAGAACGATATCCATAAGCATTTTCTCTTCTAACTTGTTATCAATAGAGCCTAATTTTTGCCAATTTTCTTAAAGCCTTTCAACATAACGGGTAAAATCAGGTCCGCTCGAAGTTTTCTACATTGAAACTTCATGTTTTATCTTCAGGAAAATAACGTATGAGATAAAAATAAATTTCCTAAACTATTCAAGTGATTTGAAAAGGCTTAAAATGTGCCATTAACACGGATCTCTCCATTTGCTAGTAGTTAAGCTGCCAGCAATAATTCATTACTCAAAAAAAGTGGCCTTAACTGGGTTTTTAGGCCGATTCATAGAGAAACATCATTGAGTGGCCTAATAGAAAATGGAACCATTAAGCCTCTCAATCCTAACAGACTCCTCTTGAGGCTTAGCCAAACATTAGTTGAGGAAGCATCAACCATGAGCAAATTGAACATCAAGAAAAGGCAGAGTTGTTCCAAAGAAATAATTCATCGGGCCAGCCACAATAAATTTGAGATTTTTCATAACTCTCCCCCTCAACTAAAATTTGTGTCAAACTACACTCTTCTGCTAAAAACTGAGCAAACTAAGCTCCAAAAGCCCAAAAGGGCAGATCAACAATACAATCTCAACAAGCTCAAGTGATGTATAGACTAAACACCGATCGCAGAAATATATTTGTTGAACCCTAAAATGGATCCATTGAATTTAAAAGTACACTGTCCACTGAGCTTCCACAAGCCAAAGTGATTGCTTTTTTGCTCTGAATCCTTAAATGGTAAAATTTATCACTGAATCCAATATTGCAACATGAAATCAATCCAGCTGATCATCTCAAGTAACATCCCCCTTAAAATAAGCCTTCTTTTAAGATTCCAATTTATACACAACTTCCTCGCGATCAAGTGGAGCTGATTCACAACTGTACTGGTAAAACCATTGCTGCCCTCTCTTATGAGGCTATGTTGGAAGATACCATTTTTAATTTCGGTTGGCTCAAAGTACTTAAAAGACACCCGCGAGAGCAATTTTTTCGGTGGAGAATTATTCTGGAAGCCTTGCCAACTAATTGTTGCCTCTTCAGAAGAGGACTTGCGAGTGATATACTCTGCTCATGGGGATGTAATGCTCAAGAAGACATCAACCATTTAACTACTAGCTGCAATGTCTACATCAAAGTGAAACGCAAGCTTCAGCAGTGGGGAATTTCTCTTCCAAATTTCCTTAACTTCCATGAAGTCACGCAGGATCTAAACAATTGTGGAATAAGAATCATGGGCATCTTGCTATATATTGTAAGGTGGTATATCAATGATGGCAAGCTAGAAACTCTAAAAAACATGGATGGTTCTTTGGCACCCCTACTGTCCTTGCTTTTTCGACTCTTGAAGCTCGTCTCTACACATAAATTTCAGCTCAAGGAGCAATGGGACACTACTCAGTCAAACAGACTGATGCAAACTCCTTTTTGGTGCCCCCCCCCCCCAGTTGGCTCAAATTTAATGTGGATGGGAACCTTATTTCTTTGCATCAAGGCAGTATTGGCGTTGTCATTATTAATGATATTGGGAATCTACTTGTAGCGGCCAGTAACTCAATTGAGCATCGGGGTAGTGGTCGTGTGGAGCTTATGGCAATCTATACCATAAAGAATTTTGTGGATTTGTAGATGCATGAAGTGAAAGGTGTCATTATTGAAAATGACAGCTGAAATATTATTAACTTTTTGCAACAAGCCAAGTCGCCCAGCACTTGGAGACGAAGACCACAGGATGCTGAGGATCTCTCTTTTTTTAACTCTTTTAAAGAAGTCCTCTTTCAACCTATAGATAAAAAGCAAAATAATGTTGCTCATACTTGTGCTCAAAAGACTATTCATGATAGTTTTTTTTGTTAGGAATGGATAGCTCACATATCCTTTTTCCTTTTGTTCTTTTTATCAGGCCCATATTTTGACGGGCTAGGTTCTCCTTTTGTATCTTTTTGTATTTTTCTTTTAGATTAATGCAAAAAGCATATATTCAAATAAATAAGCCTTCTTTTGATTTTTATAGCCAAAAAACCAATAATGTCCTTCCACAAATCATCATCGCCAAAATAAATAATGAAATCGCTCTGCTAGAAGTTGCAGCTTACGACACACTTCACCAACTCTTATATTCATGAAAATCAAAGCATATTACAAACTTCGGCATCTCTAGAAAACCTCTATCCTGCATCATTTAGCACACAAAGATATTGATGTTTTCTTAGTATTTACAACATGCCTAACTCCTACAAATATCATAAAATTACTCGCGAAGAAACATATAATATGGAGAAGTTCAATCTAGAATTCATTCATGATTGCATCTACTTCTATCAGTCATAAAAAGAGCATCACTTATAATTGAACCAAACCTATATATAACAACATTAGTATAAGATAATTTATCCTTCTTATAGTTTTCATTTACATCTAACTCCTTCCTCTTCAAAGCCTGGCAATCCCTATTGATGTATGTTTTGAAATAAGAGCAAGTCAATCCTTGCCCCTATCAAGAAACTTCTCACATGATTAGAAAAAGATTCCTTCTCAAAAAATATACCTCAACCAATAAGCCCTTAGTTGGCATATCATCTCCAACAGCCTTAAATTAGTATTAACACTTTGAACTAAAAAAACTCAAAAGTTCCTATAAATTAATTATACCACTTACATATGATGATGAGATGTCATAAAAATATTAGTAAGAAAATAAAAAAAAAGTACTGTAGCAGTAAAATTTGATCTTCGATTTGTAATAACAGAAAAATAATAATAATGATAATAAATATATAAATAAATATAAGTACTGTAGCAGTAAAATTTGATCTTCAATTTGTAATAACAGAAAAATAATAATAATAATAATAATAATAATAATAATAATATAAAGTGTGTCACGGTTAGATGAGTCACAACTCCTTAGAGAATCATAACATATGATCTTTCACAGTTACCCTCATTCAACGAACGAGAGAGAGAGAGAGATAGCGGGAGAGATCGAGAGAGGAAACTATCATGCCCTGGCCGATAGAAATTAAGAAGAAAGAAGGAAGATGCAGCTATTGTGTTGTGTCGAACTGTGCGAAGGAGAGGAAGGAAGCCGATTCACCTCTTACCGGTACGACAACCTATCCTTGTTGAATGAAAGCAGCATTATCGAGGGCTTACAATGCAGAGTGAACCACAATCAAAGCCATGAAGAAGAAGAAGAAGAAGAAAAGGGAAGATGCAATATGTGGTGTAAATGTTCTGTTTAAAAAAATTGGAAGAGAAGATGAAGATACAAATAAAGAAGTGAGTCGGGTGGCCGAAGAATTGGGAAAAGAAGCTGATGAATCAGGAAGCCGAATAGGTGAAGTTCACCTATAAAATCGCAGACCGACTTATCTGGGAGACGAGCAGCGTACAAAGGAGAGGAGGACGACGCGAAGTTTAGGGCAGAGGGAGTGTGAGAGAAAGAAGAAATTATAGGAGGAGAATGAGACAAGTGGCTCACCTGGTGCATCGTTTCCCTCCACATTGTGCTTGATAGAGATACAAAGAAACTGAAGGCACCGTACCCTGGCCGAAGGAAGGAGAAGAAAAGATCGGTCAATCTGAGCCTTAGCAAGCAGGCGAGGAAGGCGACAACATCACTGTCGAACGGGAAACTTCCCTCTGAGTTTTTTGGGAGATACAAATTAACTGAAGACACTGTACCCTGGCCAAAGGAAGGAGAAGAAAAGTTCGGTCAATCTGAGCCCGAGCAAGCAGGCGAGGAAGGCGGCGACATCACTGTCGAACGGGAAACTTCCCTATGAGTTTTTTGGGTTCGTCAAACAAGGAGCTTGAAGCGTCTTTGTTCTACGTGAAGAAGAAATGGAAGTATCGTGCCAAGATAGAGGAGGAAGGAGACCTCCTTCGTGTGTGGTGCTCACGTACAGATACAGAGGAAGAAAGAGACCTTTCCATGTGGGTGTCAAGCCAAGCAGTGTTTTTGGAATAAGGGTATTTTTTTTTTATTTTAGTGATATAATAATAATAACAATAATAATAATAATACTATGTTTATTTTAGGCATTCAATTTTAGAGGAGTCGACATCAAGGCAAAACAATCGGCATCGAGGTGAGTACTTTTACTTCTAAATTATAGTAATAATGTTATATTTCTTATAAATCACTCGAATTAGAATGTCATTAGTCAATATATTTTGTTACTGCAACTATAATATAATTATTATGTCTTATTATTCAATTTGATCCTCTACAAATGAATGTGAATGATTTGCATAGTTAAACTAATTTATTAGACATGCATGTAACAAATGAAAAATAATGTATAATATTTAAAATGTAAATAAAATGATTTATAATATGCTTGCATGAGCATGTCTGACTGTGATAGAGTAACCCCTTGATGATACTAGTGAGGGAACACTAAGGCACTCGTGCACTTATATGGAAAATGATATTGATATTAATGTGTCTTAATTGACATAATTTTTAGACGGTGCTCCTGTAGCGGATGTACAGATATAGAACGATATTGGTACGTTATTGATATAGTATGATTCATTGATAGCATGTTAATTATTTATATGAACATATTAAAAGGTTTAACTTGCATGCATCTTGCTTCTTTTTTCTTTGAAATATTGTAGCTTAGGAGTATTAAGTATTCACTAATTTGCTTAGCTCATTATTATTATAAACTAACTTTTCGGTTAATTAAGTGATTAAAAGATGAGTGATAGAAGAGAAAAAAATTATAGAAGACGCGGACAACCGTCAATATGGTAAATTAAAATATATTGTTTTAATTAAATTGCGTAGTGGTTCTTTCACCTGTAAATAGTAAGTTATGGAAAATGAATA